TCTTTGGCTCGTGTAGTTTATATTGTAACTTTATATATTACCAAAATTAGCGCTTTTGGAATTTGCGCTTTGTTGTACTAAAAGCTAGTAATATATGAATTTGCGTCCCAAAAATTCTTCTGAAAATTCAAAAAAAAAACAATTTTAGTGAAATTTTTAATAATTTGGTTATGAGTTGATGGTAAATTTTGCTTAATTAAACTAACCTAATGTGGTTTAGTGCATGAAAAAGCTTTCTTCACATTACAGCTGGGGCTTGGGCCAATTAGCCTTGAATCCAGAAAGTTTAAAAAATTTTAGTTATAACATTTTGATTTTTTTCAAGCAGTTTTTTTCGCTTTATGGGAACTCTACATTTATTTATCTACAATTAGTTTTATTATTCTACAAAAATGCTACTTTTTCGGCACTTTATATTAAAAAATTTAATATAAACAAATACAAATTCAAAAATCGGGATCAACTGGTCACTTTTTAATTTTATAAGCTTTTATTAATAAGAAATTATCAAGTTGCTTATGTACGTGTTGCAAGTGCACACATGCCAATAGAAGGAAAGAAGCTGGGCTGAAGCTGACAGCCAATTGCCATTTATCAAGTGAAAGTAGAGCCTTATATCAACCCACATAGTTTTGAAGTAGGTTTAGAAGGGGTTCTTCCCATCTCTTGAAACTGTACAATGACGTAAATCCATCAATTATCTAAAAAAAACCTTTTAAATGATCTAAAAATCCTTTGAAATTATGAAGAATTGCATTTAAAAAAATTAAAAATATTTTTGGTTTAAAAATTAAAAAAAAATATCTTTAAATTATGCATCGTATTTTTGTCTAAAAAAATAGAAATAGAATTGATCATGGTGTCATCAATAATACAGCAGCATTCAAAAATATTTTAACCTAAAATAGCGAAAAATCCTGTGTAGGTATATTTTTGTTTTCAATACACAAAAATGTCGCTATGCTGCGAAAATTCGAAGATGACCACATTAGTGTAGGATATTAAATCACATCACTAATTGTGGTCAGCAGAAGTTATTAAACCGTAACCAAAGTGTTGTATATAGTTCATGTTAATAAACTGATACATATACATTTGTTATAACGCTAAGGAATGAAATACCTAAGTTAAAGAAGGTAGAAAAAAACTCGGAATTTAAGTTCAGATAATAGTAGCAGCTGGTTTCCCAGCACTCAACACTAGGTGATAGTGATCACTTACAGTAAACTACTCATTTAATAAATTGATTTCTTCACGCTGATTTTGAAATTAGTCTCAATTAAAAAACATATGTAAATAGTTTGTTAATTAACATCCGCTGTCGTTAAAGGAAGTTTTTAAGCTTCCAACTTCCGTTTCGTCTTTAAACTGCCATAGAAATTGACGTCATTTGGCATCTTAGATCGTTGACTACTTTACACGTGTTACACATCAATTTATTATTATTATTTTTTTTCATTTTCAGCCTTAAAGACAAAATCAAAGACGAATATTTTCAATTTTCTGTGCAAATTAAACTTGTTCGATTAATATTCCGGTTTCTAAAATTGAGATTTAAGTTGTAGCATCTAATTCACATATCTAACTGAAATGATGTTTTAATTTTATTTATGCACATTCGCCAAAATATATGCAAATCGGAAATATATATTAACCCTCGGAAATATTTCTTAACCCTTTATCGCATATTAGGACCAATTTTGTGTCACTACTTTGGCAATTTTTTCTGAACTAACGAGTGCTATAAAAACATATCAAACTAGTTAAGCGCAGCAAAGAAAAACCAATAAAACACGTAAGTTGTGCTTGCGAATTAAAAAAAAATATTTTCATAACTCACACATGCTCTTCTGTGAAAATCAGTAATTAGTATACCGCTACGCAAATCTTTTCTATTGTTTCCATACAAATTTTCATATACATATTTATTTCTATGCAGAATAAAATTTAAAACAACTGATTTGAAGTCGTTTTTTTCTTTCGATATAAGTTTAACCCTCATTAGTACCTTAAATTTCAAACCAAATTTGTGCGAAACTTAACGGTTTTTAGTTAAAAAAAAATGTATGCAGCTGATTCACTGAAAATTGTTTTTTGCTTTAACACAAATTAAATATAAAGTTTATTTTGAGGATCTTTGCATATAAACATGTTGCACATTTTACAATTGGCGAATTGTTTGTGTGTTTTAATGTCATACTGGCATAAAAACATCGCCGACGTTTACATGTTGGGTGAGAAGTGCTGGTCCCAGTGCTCAGTGTTTGTTAAACGACCTATGCGGCGTTGCTTCGACTGTGAATTATTCCTCCTGAGTCCCACAGAAAATTTAAAGTTTCTCTCTTATCTGAGGACAGGGTCACTTATGACTCCTGGGACCAATCGGTAACATTAGCCAAAAATTATTCCAATTCCAAGGTAAAACTCCATGGAAAATAAAATTTTAAAATATTGGATTCATCAGACCCAAGGCAACTGAGCTAATCGGATTAAAAATTTAAAAAGGGTAAATACCCTCCTTCATAATTCATGCATCAGAGGGTTAAGAAATTGCACGTTGGCACGTTTAGCAATCTCTACTTATATCCAAGCATTTTTACACTTTTGCTCTGAGAACAAAATCGAAAATAGGAAGATTATCTAGACTGGATATTCATGGGCTAAGACATATGTATGCGTGTACATATGTGTATGTAAGTTTGAACTAACCAAACTAGGCTCTATTTTATTTTGTTATATATGGTATAAATTAAGAATTGAGTCAAATACAGAATGTTAAAAAATAGACTTCTTTTATTTTGGACTTATGTTTATGGAGTGTGAATGAAGCATGTGTAAACGATGAATGCATTATGAATTTGTGAATTTATGTTATTTAGCTAAGCATAAATATAAGTAATGGTCTTTATTGGTTTCATTAGCATTTAGTGTTGTTTCCTTTTGCGTCATTTATTAGTTATTTGCTTATGGTTAACGTTAGAAGAATATTCATTGCGGCTCTGACGTAGACAGCAACATTAATAGGCGTTTATATTAACATAATTGTTTATATTTAAGCTCTATTTTTAAACATTAAAAAAAGCTTTTATTCGGTTAAAAGTTCGAGTATCCAAGCTGCTATTTTGATTAGAGCTTAACTCGTTGTTATCTGGCTTAAGGCAGTACAAAATCTTGTGACTATGCAAATTTCCTGTGCAAAAAACCAAACAACAAAATCAGTGTTAAACAGCAAATCAATGCGGGAAGAAAACTGCGCTCAGACTAAATTTATTTCGTTGTATTATGTTATGTTCCTTTTTGAAATGCGTAGCACCGTCAACAAAAAAAAAATGCCAAAAATTAGTGGTGAGCCTTACCGACTTTATTATATTCAAATTTACGAACTTTTTTAACAAATTTTACGGGGTAAAAATCTCGAGAAAATTATCCTACGAATTTGTGTAGTTATAATAAATTAGGTTGTCGAATAGGGAATCAATTTCCAAGCACCAGAGCAAATGATAAACCACACCGCACTAAGGGCAATCGCTATAAAATATGTTTGTGCCTGATAAACTCCAAATTCCCCTTGTCTATGCAGCTCTGACAAAACTCTTAGGTGGAATATCCCCACGCTTGCGATGTATGCCCGTAATACCGTGTCCAATTATTACTTCAACTACCAGTCTTAGGAACCTGCAAGGCAATGAAAAGACGGATGAACTGACGAAGAAAAGTATGGCCCGACTGCAACAGGATAAAGACCTTGAACCTGCTTAGCAAATTAAGGCCAGAGGTATTCAGAATTGTAGCAACCATCACGAAGAACTGGCCAATAGGCAAACATGTGGCAAAAATAGGTCAATCCCATAATAGGATAAAAATGGCACAACAACACGCTAATTGTGTCCTTTACAGCGGCTATGAAGCAATGCAACCAACCAACCAATCTTAGAGAGGAGTGGCCAGGCCAAGGAGTATGCAAGTTTTGGATCGCTGTTCATTGAATTTTTGTCAGATGTGCTTAGGTGTCTGACTGGAGGATTCCATGAAAATCACTTTATACTTATACTTTCAGGACGTTAAGTAGAATTTTCCTTGGATATTTTTCTTAGATCTTTTGGAATTAAAGTGAGATTAGATCGTAAGAGGCCACTCTGTAAGGGCAGAGGCTATGAGCCACATAGCAATTTTCTTTGTTGTTGTCAATTCTGCCCGAAAAAGGTACAGTGCTGGAAATTTTCCACCTCACAACTCTACAATCAGATGAAACAAAGGGTATGCGCAACGAAATGAAGCCCTATTATATGAGTTTTGAATAGTTAGCGCCCTGTTAAATAAGCTCCTTTGGCCGTTCACGGTCAACTGGCGCCCAACTTTGCCTATCAGAATTTTCGCCGAATGGTTGCCAAGCCGACTATAAGCTAATCTGTAAACTGTCAAGAATCGTTCACAGTTTGCTAGGGGAATTCTGTTTTCAGGTGAGATAACTTCAAGGGCGCCCTGCATAGCCATTTTATTTTTCATGTGGTTTTCTCCAATATTACTTGACTCTGGGAACCAAATTATTTTGATTTAGAAGCAATTCGAGGTGGTGATAAAGAGAGGGATATCAGGAGTTTTTCGACTAGTTTCGACCATACCACAGGCAAACCCACAAGCATTGATTGTTGTCAGAGTAGATATTTATCCTTATAATTTGGTGCAAAACCAGCCGACTATCTCTTATATAGCAACCACCCTGGCCTGAACTACGCTGTAGAGATTCGTTTTATGGAGAGGTTTTGAAATTAGTTAGAGAGTGTATTTGGCGCCAACAAAAAATACAGCTACAGGTGAAAATACAAAATCTAGCAAAATTCAAAAGACTTAAGGCACGAACTTGCTTTCCCTCTTTCATCCCAATCACCACGAAAGTAATCTGATAACTTAATTATTTTAAAATTTGCTTGCAATTTATTATTTATTTAATTTGAATATACATATTTACTAAAAAAAAGTTTTTAACACAATTACTGGCGGCAGTTTCGCTTTTAGCACTAAGTAACACTAAACAATATTTAGCTGACTAGTTTAATTGAGGGATGATAGCCGAGCTCATCGGCGGTGAAAACGATTTCGAATCGCTTGCCTTCTGGTGAGGTCCAAGAGGTGCTACCCTGCACAACGATAGCCGCATTATCATCAATGGTCTTCAGTTCACCTTGCTCGGTGCGTGAAATGCCATTGCTGGTGTCGAAGCTGCAAATGAAATGTAAGACAATTTTTAGTTTTTTTTTTGCTAATACTTTCTAACATTCAACATCTCCACCATTCACCAATACTTACGCAAAGGAGTACTTATCAACGCCATTGTTTTCAGTTTCCAGGCGCAGAGTTTCTGCTTTCTCATCCGTTTCATCTGGACGTGGCGCAGCCAAGCAGACAGTGGCGAAGCAAGCAACGAACAACAACACGATTTCGTATTTCATTTTCGAAGTAAAATTATTGTTAAATTTTTAAATTCCGAAAAAGTGTGTAACTGTAAAATTACTGTAATCCTTGTGGCTGTAAGTGACTCTTTGTAAGCGTTGACTTTACTGATATTTCACAAGCGCATGCAGAGCCTTTTATACCAACTGAATGCTTGAAAAGATGCGCTACACTTATTTTACGATTACTTCAGCGATCTTTACTTTTTTTTTTTGGTGGGTACCCATACCCAATATATTGTAGGCAGGTAGTGTGTAAAAAAAAAAATGAAACAAACAAATTTAAAATGTCCTCATCGCAAAAAAATGCAGCTAAATATATGAATGTACGTACATTATTGCGTAGCCGACCGCACGGCCGGCCGTTAAGTGTAGCTACAAATGTACAAAGCGGCCAAGCTTTGCGTCGCCACTCCTGCCACACCATCATCTACCAATTGTCAAAAACTCTTTTAATTACACATTAACACAATAATATTTTTTTCTCATTTTTTTTTTTTGCTTAATTTTTCTACGCTTGTGACCAAAAGTGATTTATTTGTTCGCATCACTTCGCCTTAAGTGCGTTTTTTTTTCTGACAGTAATTTAAGTAATTTCCCCACGCGTTTTTTTTTCTTTGCAAGTCTTGTGTTGGCATCTACCAAAATTTCTCGGTCCGGCTTCTATTCAACAAAAGCATTTCAAAAATTAATTATTACTTATTATTGAATGTTCTATTCGTAATATATTAATTAGTGTACCAGCGCAAATTCCAATATATAAGAAAGCAGTATATTGATGTGTGCATATTCAAAAAACTTGTACGTTTATACCGCTGCTTTTATATATTTCAAGTTGGCGTATTTCTTAGTCACTGTCGCTAATTTCTTTGTAGCGAAAACAGTAAAAATGTGTCATGTTAAATTTCTTTCGATTTTTTTTATTTTATTTTTATTGACAAATCGTTGACTTGACTTTGTATAAGTAACTGTAATTTGTAAAATACCTTCTAAGTGAATTGTGATTTATTACTTAACCATAGCGACATTCACTTGAAAGAAGTGAAATACAAACAAACAACACATATTTTGGTACTCTTAGTTTATTGCCTCAAATCCGCATTTGCCAAAGCTACAACAAATTTATTTTTATATATAAATCATGAAGTGTTGTGGAAAGATTTAGTTGTGCTTCTCTGTTAGACTATTGCAGGTTGCGCGAAAGGTTTAGGCAGATTTATTATTTTGAAAGGAGTTTATTTGGAAAGTTTGCCATAGAAAAATATAGGATTTAAAAGGCGGAAAGTGCTGGAGGAAGAGACGAAATTGGCTTTGCCAATTATAATTTACGGCATCAAATTGTGGTTACTACATCCATAAATTCCACTCCGATCCTACGTAAACCTGCATTACCCATCAGACCATTCGATAAACAATATCAAGCCGTATTGCAGCGGAGCCTAAGCAGATCCCTTAACCGTCTCTGGTGCATACTTCCGCTGAGTTGACATGAGGCCTTTCTCTTCAGATGTAGAGTACTTCACATACAGTCGACTTTCCTCGGTCCCAACTGAGAGTGCGTTGTTTGCTCATCCGAAACGCAGTTTCCCCAGGATTACCGTGGTATGGCAACTAAACGTGAGCGAGCGCAAGGCAGTGTTTGCCTCTTGGCTATCTAACTACATAAGTATTTATTTTCCTAGACGACGTCGCGAAAATGCGCAACCAACCTAGTGCTTCCTTAATAAAATCTATCTCTAAGAGCACTTCTATCTGATTACAGAAAAGTTCTGAGATTTCCTTGGGCATTTTGAGGACTTTTTCGAGAACTTTTTTGTGATTTTTATGATTTCTGACATTGCCTCTTTTGAATTCCTTAAAAATAAAAATCAAGCGCTTATCCAGGTTTTTATTAGTATCGATATAGCTATAATATAAAAATGGAAATATTTCTCCATATCGTTGCCTTAATATAGAAAGGCCCTATCTGACATCGTCGCTGATTTACAAAAAGTCGTAACTAACTAAAAATCGAAAATTTACGTTTTAATTGATTATGATGCATTTGATCGAATTATGTGGCCTCACATCGTTTTATGCAATAAAAGATTTTAGTTAGTTACGGCTTTGTGCATTTCAGCGACGATGTTAGATAGGGCCTTTCTATATTAAGGCAACGATATACTTTGCTATTCAAATGTGTACGATGCCTTTCTTGATCTACAGAATTTTCTCAATACATTTGTGTATAATTTTAATACTTAAATCAGGAGTCTGCTCTTCATATTAAGTAAGACAGAAACAGTATAATTTATAAGGGGCGTTAAATGGAGGCTATAGGTTATTTTTCAATTCAAGTTCAATTCTTCTGATCTTACAATCGCTTTACAACTAAATAGATAGAGCATATATTTTGTGTTTTTATACCCGAGCGCACTTGTGCACAAGGGTATTATAACTTTGTTCACATAACGGTTGTTTGTAACAGGCAAAACGAATCGAGATAGATATAGACAAATGTATACATAAATGATCAGAATGAAAAGAGAAATCGATTAAGCGGTGACTGTCTGTCCGTCCGTCCGTCCGTC